AGAGCAGGCAGATACTACAGAGGCAGCAGTGGCAGTAGTACAAGCAGTAGTGACAAGGGCTGCAGTGGTGGCAGTGACAGTAGAGCAGGCAGATACTACAAGACACCAGTGGCAGTAGTTGCGGCGGTAGCTGAAGATTTTCTAACTTGCGCACGTTATACGATACACCGACGCACTCAGCAGCGCGTCTTAGCCTGTTAGCTGTGACGGGATCGTTCAGCCGTGGCAAGTACTTCTGATTTATGCCCTAGGGAGAATGTAAACTATATGCAGCGGACATAAAAAAACAGCTGCTGTTATTCAAACGTCGAGTTGTTATTTAAGTGTTATCCTAAAAAAATATAATAGTAAAAATTAGGTAAAAATTATTGCATTGTCTAGTCACGGACGATCCGTAACGTTTTCCAAATGAAAAACTGCAAAAATTATAATCTCTGCGACACAAAATTTTTCTGTCAGCATCGCCATTGACCATTTTCCTTTTTTTGGTAATTCATTAACCCCCGTATAATATTTCTATTCATCAGGTATTTATGTAGTGCACAGAACATGTAAATTAGTTTTAGCTATAGAGAATATAAATTTCGTGTACTTCCGGTAAAATAGAACACTTGACTTAAAAAATCATTTGAGACTTATTTGTCATTTTTCACGACTCCTTTTGCCTACAGCTGTAGCTATACCGTAACGAAACCTAATACACATTAAATAAACAGATTCTTGAGCGAACTACATAGATTATTTTGACCCGAAACTTGAACCGAGATCATCCCTGCACCTGCTGGGGCGTCTCTCGAATGCGAGACATGCACAAGTCACCAAACTTCTCAACAACTCAGAGTCCAGTTATTATTTATTATTATTGGAGTCCAGTTGATGTTAGGCCGTACTTCAGTAAGTTCACCTTGTATGCATAACAAGTTGAGAGCAATTAAAGTTGAAACAATCTAATAATTGGTTTAATAAACAATCTAATAATTGGTCTTGGCAAGCTGTTAGCACGACTACACATGTAAATGATTAATGTGGGGCAGCCGGCAGGTTATATAATGACTAATTGACATATGAACTTATTGTGATATTTCTCATATTTTTATGAGAAAATTTACGTACTGTAAACAAAAATATATTTCGAAACTTACTTAGTTATTAAAAACAATATATGCTCAAGCAAAATATTCCGTGTATACTTTACAACATGGGAAAGCGAAACGATTATCATGGTCGAGAAGCAGTAGACCAAGCAACAGATGGTAAAGCATAACAAGATGAAAGTTCCTAGCCGACAGTTTGCCGGTGTAGTTGAAAAAGATACAAGTAGCGACCTGCCCCTGGCACCGACAGCCAAAAGCCAGAACCTCGTATTGAGTTCTGGGCAAATGAAAGGTAAAGTTTAGCTGCACTTGAAACGGCTCCTTAAAAATCAGCAGGGGAAAGTCAATGGGGCTAAAAGAATATCAAAGGTCTTGGCTGCGCTGCCATGTAAAAAACTTAAAATTAGATTGAATTACAGAATAACAATATCTCATTTTATCATATTTTATTATAATTAGCTAGAGAACTAATATCTACCGAGTTCGCAGTCTCACGAGAATGTGGTTTTCGTTTCAAATGAAATCATAATGTTGCTGGATGACTTATAAATGTATATGCAATATAGAAGAACAAATTTCAATGGGGAAAAATTATTCTCCAAGAAAATAGAATGGAGCTCCTCAAAGTCCTGGCCAGTATGCATCCGGGAAATTTGACCGGGAAATTCCATACATAAATCAAAGGTTTTGCAGACTTCCTAGCCTCCCATGAAGCTGAAATTGAAGATTAAAATATGCGACGCATTCTTGAGATCCCCAATATTGTTAATATTAAGAAGAGGCAAGCGTTGAAGCCGCTGCGACGGAGCTAAGCAGATTGTAGCAATTCTCCATCGCAATTCTGAGCAATTCTCCATCGTACGAGATTCTTAGTTTTGTTAAAGAGTGAAAACTACCACAATTGCATTGAAAGAAAAATATAAACAAATTTATGGGACAAAATATAAAATTATACATTTTACTTTGGTCGCAATGAATGAAACTGAATGAACTTGTCGGCACTTGCGTGGAAAACTCGTCCGTAAAAGAACGATGCGAGGCTAACTTGCCGATTGTGGAGGGAGCTTTATGAGTACTTAATAAAGGTACGAACATGAGTGCTGGCGGGAAAATTTTTAATTGGGCTTTTTAATTTTATAAGCTTACAATTGAATAAGAGAAACTAACTCCAACACAATTCTCATGCAAGAAGCACTAGGGTTATTAAAATGATAACGATACAAATTGGGGGGTGGAAACAAGATAAGATTTGTATTAGTTAACAGACGCCAGGTTTTGGTTCGGAATTAACGAAAAGTATACACCCACGTCGCCTCGCCTCACGAAGAGGCGGTAATGGATAATTATTTTCTTGGCTAAGAAAATAATGGACGGCAAGCCGGGAAATTTTTAAGAGAAACTCTCCCTCGACCGATGATTAATGCGGGGCAGAAAGTGAACTGAGGCTCGTGGAAACGTCGCTAAAAAAATTTTTCGGAAGAATTCCGGGAACGTGAATTCATATTAAAAATTAATTTATATTCAATATGATATTATATTGAACATAAATTTATATTATACAAGAACTTGTACTGAACTTGAAATAAAAATCCCCACTTAAGATTATGTCTACTGTCGATTAGGCACAAAAAATGCTATGACCGAAATCTTCAATTAAAATTTTGCTAAATTTTCTGGACTTGCAATTTGCTGAACAAGTACGCTGAGAACGGAGCAGAGTGGAGCATTAATGAAGCAGGCATCACAGTCAGTGACATGGTATTACTATTGTTACATTATTTCACACACGTAATTTACTTGCAGCATTTACTACCCATTTATCGGTTGCAACAACATAATTAAGATTTACGCGCCTATGTTAAGACTAAATGTTTCATGCAATTTTTCGTCATACAGATTTATTGGTATGACGAAATAGTAGGTCTGAATTCTGACAATTATGAAAAAATGTTTCGGTTTTTGAACATAAATATAGAAAGAAACTACGTCAAGGACCAGCTGCAATATCTACGTTGAGGGTCGCAGTTGCTACGTCGTTAACCTGGCCCAGATTAGAACTTGAGACTCTTTTAAACTTGCTCTTTCACTGCCAGGAGGTCGTCAGAGAGTACAGATAATTTGTTCCGGAGTTTATAATGAGGTCACGGGCGCGCAAATTACGGGTTACGCAGATTACGCCGTAAAGGAACTCATAAAACTATCTTAGAAAACACTCATCAAGAAATTTTTTATGCTATAACATGATGAAAAAAATGGCTTAGTAATCCATGCAGTCAATAATTAAATCGCGATAAAATTGAATTTTGTGGGAATTTTATGAAATGGGTGGCAAATTTTTTCAGCGTTTGTGCATGAGGCATGGGAGTGTGGAGCAGAAATATAACATGATAACACCGCACTCAGAGAAATAAGTGAGTCTTTCTCCAAACAACGACGCACTTTTGCCTTGTGTGGCAGAGACTTATTTTCTCTCCATTTTTAAACTCTCTATTTTTCTACGTATCTTCAGAAATTCCCATATTTGTCATCCATGAGAAAGATGTAGTAGTTCCAAACACAAAAAAGTAACACGAGTTCATTAATCATATAAAAAACTTTCACTAAACTTATTGTTCACACTAAGAAATGTTGAACTAATATAACATTTGGCCGCCGAAGAAGCGATGCGTTGATGTCGCTCAAGATGCTCTAAAACACATGACTGCACCACGACACATGAGGGCCGATGTTGCGACGCTCCATGCAGCCTATTTTGCAGACAAGAGAGGCTATTCAAGCCACGCACAGTGCCCGTAAGCAACATTGCTCATAAGAAACGTCAACACGAGAACAAAATACCGCTATTGTTTAGGATAAACTTCGCTGCCAGCGCCGCTAGCGGAGTCGTAAAGATCAGAGGCGGCCTGACCAAACCGCCTCCAAAAACCCGCCACTGAACAAACAATAGCAAGTAAAAGAAGCTGCGGGTGAACGTAATCGGGGTAAAATATTGCCGAGACTTGGTCAGGAAAACTGAGTAAAACTGCGCGGAAATGTCATCCGGGGGATACGGAGGGTTACGAAGTATACGTGATTAGTGAGGAATGGTGAAGGAATGAACAAATGATGGAGATAACTGCAAATGGAAAGTGGAGTGAACGATAAATTGAGAGCGGAGTGAGCGATACATTGAGCGTGGAGTGAACGATGTATTGAAAGTGCAGTGAGAGATAAATTGAGAGTGGAGTGAACGATGAATTGAGAGTGGAGTGAACGATGAATTAGGAGTGGAGTGAACGATTAGTTGAGAGTGGAGTGAACGATGAGTGAACGATGTATTGAGAGTGGAGTGAACGATGTATTGAGAGTGGAGTGAACGATGTATTGAGAGAGGGGTGAACGAAATTGAGCAAATAATATTGTAACCTGGCCGAGGTCGAGGAAAGCCAAACTATGAAACATTATAATAAACAATCTCATTATAAACAAATTACATGAAAAAGAACAAAAAAGCTATAAGAAAAAGTTAGAAATGAATAATTGGAACAAGAATTGAATGGACAGTGACTAAAAGTTTCCTCAATTGAAAGAGGAGCAGGTATCAAGCGGGATAAATAGTCTATTAGTACACAGATTTGTCAAAGCCAAGCTATGAACAATGAGGCATTTCAATGAGGAGAACTTCAATATCGGAAACTTATTTTCCGTGAAGTTTTTCTTATCTAAATTTCATCAGCGAGAAGAAAAACCCGAAAGAGATACTTAAATGTTGTGGGCAAAATCCCTAGATATTAAAATATTTTGGAATAAAATCGATGATGACAAATTTTCAATGACTATCAAGTGATGATCTGACACTTAAATTTCATAGTATGTGTGCAAGAAAATGGTAAATTTCGAGGAATAGAAAAAATGTTCACGACTGACCTTGTTGAGTGAGACAACTTCAGCAGGGACCTGCAGACACAGGCGTTGATGGTAGAGCTTACGGTACCACTGCAGCACTCCGGCATTAAGCGCCCACCACGAGCCTGCTTTTTCGCAAACTTGAAGCTTAGGCAGATATATCGGATCATCAGCAGTGGATGCTGAGAAGCTGTCAAAATCATCGTGGCTGCCCTCAATTTCAGGGGTTCTGTCCCGGATACCGTTGTGGCTCGACAGCGTTGTTGGTCGTGTTAATATTTTGGTAGTGATTAGTGCCGGAGAAGTGGGCGAGGTAGTGGTTAGGGCAGCAAAAGTGGACGAGGCTGTAGTTAGTGCCGGAGAAGTGGGCGAGGTAGTGGTTAGTGCAGCAAAAGTGGACGAGGCTGTAGTTAGTGTCGGAGAAGTGGGCGAGGTTGCGGTTAGTGCTAAAGAAGTAGGCGAAGTAGTGGTTAGTGCAGCAAAAGTGGACGAGGCTGTAGTTAGTGTCGGAAAAGTGGGCGAGGTAGTGGTTAGTGCAGCAAAAGTGGACGAGGCTAAACTTAGTGTCGGAAAAGTGGGCGAGGTTGCGGTTAGTGCTGGAGAAGTGGGCAAGTTTTTGGACGAGACTGCCCGGAATCCAGCGACATCGCTTGAAACTACGGAGGGATGTGTGGCCGTATGTTTAGTGACGTGAAAAGTAACTGGACTGTTGTTGTTTGTGAGCGATGTTCCTGAGTGCGAAAAATCTATTTGTTCATTCACTTCGTCTCCTCTAGGGCTCTGAGGAATCTCCTCAGACCGAGGGAGAAGATCAATAAGAGGGTCCGATTGGAGGTTCGATTCAGAATTGGATTCATCGACAGAAAGATAAGGATTTTCTGTCCAGTTTTGCCTCCGCCTTGACTCGGCAAGGAGAGCGGCGTAGGTGGAATTGCAGGAGAGGCTCTTAGGGCCCGGGCCACAGCAGCTTGTTACAGATGATGAGCGAATGCGAGGCCTCGCGTCCAAACGATCAGTCAAGTCGGCGGCGCAGGAAAACGATCGCGTCGAAGTTTTAGTGCAAAATCGAGGACTTTTTGACTTTTCTCTCGATAAGGGGGAGTATTCGAAGTTTGAGCTTTTCGATTTGACGAAATGAGGGACCGAAGCGTTCAAATGCAAAGAACTGGATAGCTTTTTTAGAAATGAGAAGTTTCTTAAAAAATTGCAGATTGTAAATTTTGTCTCATTTTGAGTAGATACAAGAGGACAAGATTTCGGTATAGAAATTCTTTTACTATTGTTTGATGTGGATGAATAAACAATTTCATTTTTCTCTTCCATGACTGGCAGACCTCTTGCCACGACTTGTGCGTCATTTCTGTCCAAGCTGCCAGGGCTTTTTTGTCCGCACAGAAAACAAACCTCGCTCTTATGCCCAGACGAATTAAGGGGGTTATCTAGAAAAGGTTTTTGAGACATGATCGCCACAGCGTCCCCGAAATTTTTTTTCGCGGCCGATTTATTGGAAGCCCTCGCCGATGACCATGACATGATACTTCCATTTTTCGATTCAGGGGCTAAAAAATAACTTACTTTTTGTTCGGTAGAATTAGTGCTGCCGGCAATTGAAGGCGATGGAAGGTCACCAGCGTCACCGACTTTTTCTGTCTTATCCAAAGCCGATGCAGAATAAGCAACACCGTCCAAATTTCTGCAGTTCGAATCAGCATCGTGATCGCTCAGAGACGCGACACTCTCACCGGTTCGAATGACAATTGTCACCTTGCGCTTTGAGGCTTGAGAAATGTTTTTGGAGTGTGAGCTACTTTTTCCAGGCGCCTTTCTTGACATTGGCGCTGAGATAAAGGTGGTCTCACTCACTTTCTGGGTAGGAAATTCGTGGAACTTACAGCTATAGGAACGAACGATGGCTGTCGCTTTCTGTCCATATTTGCTGTCATCAGAGTGCTTGCTCAGTCCCCCAGGTCTCCTTTCTTTTTCTGAGCAGACGCGTGAATCCTCTAGGAAATGCTCACTATTAAGCGTTTTGAATTCAGTTTCCTGCAAATTACCATCCGGAGACGAAAAACACTGATAAGCAGGCGATGAAGATACGTTTTTACATGCAAGCAAACCCGTATTTTTCTCCTCGAGCTCTACTGAGCCATGTCGTATCTGTTCCCGCTGAGAACACAGGAACGGGTCAAAATTTAGCCAATCTTCGATGCCATCGACAACCGGTTCTTGTTCCATATCAATGGTAGAACTCACGGGACCGTATGGTTCTTGCAAAAAGTTAATGCTGAGAGGATGAAGCAAAGCAACTTTGGACTTCACGACATCTTTTGAGTGCAGGGCAGCAACATCTTTTGTAAATAGCGGAAGACGACGTGAAAACAAAGCTGGCGGCTTCTGAGATGAGAAAGAGGCGATGTCGTCTCCATCAATGAAAGATTGTGAAGGGAGGTACGGTTCATCATTAGAAGGTGATGTATTAAATGAACCTGATAAGGATGAAAGGCATGATGATGTGTGGGATTGAAACGATGGTGATTTCTCAGTTTCGCTGTCGTTTAACGAAACCAACGACAGGATTGGACTGCTCATCTTACGCTCGCCTGACGAGTTCGTTTTCGTACCTTCCACATCCTGAACGACGCCACTCCTCCGACGGCCCAGGAAATCAAGCTTTGAAATACCTATTTTGAAATATAACACGTACCTCAACGCACGTACAAATCCTTAGCATAGACAAATTCTTCCCGTTCGATAACCGTTTTAATGTTAAATCACAGCGGCACTAGCTTCACTTTTATACATTATTTTGCAACAGTAGACGTCCGACACGCGCATGAAGGGAGTCCGGTGCTCATGCAGGTACCGCAATCTGTAGGAACGAAAAAAATATTGTTAAAAAAATAATAACGATTTATTCTTACATTGCAATAATTGTTAAAACTTGTGAGATCATATGAGAAATATTTCGTTTTAGTCTCACAACAGACTTCTTTATATAATATTTTGAAACGCGTCTGTGTAGAAGTTCTGCAAAAGTTGCATACAATCCCACTCACTAATAAAGCTAAGAACCCAAGTCTACATTCAAGGGTCGAGTCAGCACAAGGTTGCGTGGCGCAGCATACTAAACACGAGATCGGCGATCATCTTTGGTGTTTGCCAACACAAACCAACATCTGTACTACAAACAGTCGAAGCGAACGCAGGAAGATAGATTACTGTTTGTGTTATGGGATGCTATAGGAGCCGGGCGATTAATGGATTCATGTCGCAAACGCAAAACAGTGAATTCGCGAGACTACAACTGACAATTAACTCACGACCTCATAGGCAATGATGAAATGAAAGATACACATGATCAGGATGCAGTTTAAAGCTTGTTGTAAAAACATGGGCATGTTGCTTGCAATCAAATTGATTAGAAAGATGAGATGAAATTTAAAATTTTTATAATGTTCTTACATCTAAATTTTTTCGATAGCTGATTGCTGTCACTTTCCATTTTTTCAGTGCTCACAATTGTAAGGAGCATGAAAGCTACAGTATGTGTAAAAGAACAAATAAATTTTAGATACATGTAATTAGGCAAAATTTCTGGTGAATCATAATTGCAATGAATTTTAAGATACATACTTTATTGTGAAACAAGAAACAGGATCACGGAAACATTACACGACAGTCTCGGCCCACAGTCTGAGGGCTCTGCCTCGAGCTCTAAAGAAAGGCTAACAACTTGGAACAAGACACACACGAGAGCAGCGTAAGGCCAAATAAAGTTTAGGGTAACACGAGCTTATATACGAAAAATGAGCCTGAGGCCTGCAGCTATTCAAACCAAAGCGCTGGCCCAACCTGGTCGACCTAATGAAGGAAGTTTTGGGCCTGGACTCAGCTTGGAAACGTTCATACGTTCTACAGGCAGGGCTAAGGGTAAGCGTCAAAGGCGCTTGAAAGTAACTGATAGATTTGACGTGTCTGGTGATTTACGAGCAACATTTTTCTACGCATGAAATCTTTAAATTTCGTCGCACGAGGTTCTTACATTATATTTTATTCATTTTCAATATCAAAAGTCACTGATTCAGCTAAAATTAATATTAATCCACGAAACACATGTATCTTGGTTAAAGAACGCAACTATCTGTAGTAGTATAGTAGGTAAAAGATGGAAAAAAGTCTGGTTATTATTTCTAACTTATTTCGTTTATTGATAAAAAAATCCAGAATGAGTACCCTCTATCAATATTTCATCGTATCCTCTGTTACTAAATACCCTTCCGTCTCTCCTTCATATCTAGTATACTTTATCGCCATGTACCATCTACCTCCATGTACCCTCTACCTCAAAGTACCCCCTACCTCAAAGTACCCCCTACCTCAAAGTACCCCCTACCTCAAAGTACCCTCTACCTCAAAGTACCCCCTACCTCAAAGTACCCTCTACCTCCAAGTACCCTCTACCACCATGTACCCTTTACCTCCAAGTACATTCTACCTCCAAGTACCCTCTACCTCCATGTACCCTCTACCTCCAAGTACCCTCTACCTCCATGCACCCTCTACCTCCAAGTACCTTTTACCTCCATGTACCCTCTACCTCCATGTACCTTTTACCTCCATGTACCTTTTACCTCCATGTACCTTTTACCTCCATGTACCTTTTACCTCCATGTACCTTCTACCTTCACGTACCCTCTACCCCCAAGTACCCTCAACCTCCAAGTACGCTCTACCTCCATGTACCCTCTACCTCCCAGTGCCCTCTACCTCCCAGTGCCCTCTACCTCCAAGTACCCTCTACCTCCAAGTACCCTCTACCTTCATGTAACCTTTTCCTCCATGTACCTCTACCTCCATGTACCCTCTACCTCCATGTACCCTCTATCTCCATGTACCCTCTACCTCCATGTACCCTCTACCTCCATGTACCCTCTACCTCCATGTACCCTCTACCTCCATGTCCCTTGTACCTCCATGTACCCTCTACCTCTATGTACCCTCTACCTCTATGTACCCTCTACCCCCAAGTACCCTCTACCTCCATGTCCCTTGTACCTCCATGTACCTTCTACCTCCACGTACCCTCTACCTTCAAGTACCCTCTACCTCCATGTCCCTTGTACCTCCATGTACCTTCTACCTCCACGTACCCTCTACCTCCAAGTACCCTCTACCTCCAAGTACCCTCTACCTCAATGTACCTTGTACCTCCATGTACCCTCTACCTCCAAGTACCCTCTACCTCCAAGTACCCTCTACCTCAATGTACCTTGTACCTCCATGTACCCTCTACCTCCACGTACCCTCTACCTCCACGTACCCTCTACCTCCACGTGCCCTCTACCACCAAGTACCCTCTACCTCCATGTCCCTTGTACCTCCATGTACCTTCTACCTCCACGTACCATCTACCTTCATGTACCCTCTACCTCCATGTCCCTTGTACCTCCATGTACCTTCTACCTCCACGTACCCTCTACCTCCAAGTACCCTCTACCTCCATGTACCCTCTACCTCCATGTACCCTCTACCTCCATGTACCCTCTACCTCCATGTACCCTCTACCTCCATGTACCCTCTACCGCCATGTACCCTCTACCTTCATGTACCCTCTACCTTCATGTACCCTCTACCTCCATGTACCCTCTACCTCCAAGTACCCTTTACCTCCAACTACCCTTTTCCTCCATGTACCCTTTACCTCCAAGTACCCTTTTCCTCCATGTACCCTCTACCTCCAAGTATCCTCAATCTCTATTGCATGGTGAGTGCTCACAACTCTAAAGCGCCGTGCAGAACAAAGCGACTCGATGCAAGTCCTTGAGTAAATCTGAGCGCATGGATCTTGAAACGGCGCTGCGAGGTGGACTCCAAATGCAGCAGATGCTGCATCGCTAACAGGGACCATCATTTAATTAGTGCACTTCTAAGAGCTGGCCGCGTTCTCAAACATTTCAGTTCAACAAGAACCATCAGTTCTATGATCCTAAAAAATCTGGTCCTTTATCCCCATTTTGCAGTACTTTCAACCTTTAAAAATGCTCATACATGTAGTTAGATTATGTTCATTTTTTAGCGTATTTTCGAGCACATAACCCAAGGCTAGTAAGGCGAACACATAAGATAATTTGTAATGCACTTGGGAACAGAGCTACAGTGAAGCAGCTAGAGACATCGGTAGAAGCGCTGACTCTGGACGCACAGAAGTAAAGTTAATTATCATAACAGTTGGTAGCAGGACATGCAGTACAATGCTAGATGCTTAATAACAGACAGGGGTTTAACCAAATAAGGGAAACATCCGACATTTTTATACCGTAACTTTTGAAAATGTTATAAACAATGAACTTGTGACATATTTTTGTTTTATTGTTTATTGTTGCTGCTAATTGATATTTTATCCTGCATTTATATTTTAAATAAATTTTTGTGTCTATAACCTAACCTTTAATCTATAATAGCACACATTACTGACTTTCAAAGAAGCCAAATTGTAGGTGCCCGTATGGCAAGTGCTGTGACAGAAACTTCCTGATTGCTTGACGTTTCTAGAGGTACTGTCTCATAAGTAATGACGTAATGACGGCTTTTGAAAGCGAAGCAAAAACGTCCTCAGCAAAGCACAGGTCTAGCCAAAAGTTGAAGTTGTCTGAGAGAGACTTTCGGTACCTAAATCGAATTGTAAGGAACAATCGAAATGGACACCTACAGAACCCAGTTTCCATGAAGACTCCCCGCCGAGAGCTGCACAGATTTGGATTCTATGGAAGAGCTGCAATTAGAAAACCTCTGGTTTCAAATACAAATGCTTCAAAACGTTTGGAGTGGTGTAAAAACCTCCAGAATCGGTGCCTCGAGCAAAAAAGTGATTTTTTTCTGTCGAATCATTGTTTCCTTATTTCCAACCTCTGGCCGAGTTTACGTTTGGAAACAGCAAAACGAGTCATTTAATCTCAACTGCCTCCTCCCAACCGTGAAACATGGGGGGGGGAGATCTGTAATTATCTGGGGTGTTATTTCTTGGAAATCCAGCGGACCACTGATTTTTCATCATGGAAGAATCAGCAGCCGTGAGTATTTAGGAATTTTGGAGGACCAATTAAGTTCATCCAACGGTTCAAGCACTGTTTCCGGAGAGGAACGTCATCTTTCAAGAAGATAATGCCCCGATCCATAAAGCTGGAATTGTTGAAAATTGGCATGATGAACATTTTAATGAAGTTGAAGAACATGAAGAACATTTTAATGAAGTAGAGCATCTCAATTTGCCACCACAATCACCAGACCTGGGGCCATACTTTCAAAATTCGCTAAATGAACGTAATTACTTGCGCTCTATTTTATTGTCTATGATTGGTGGATTTTGCTTGAAAGGCCGTCAATGATTGGCTGATGAACTTACGATCTCTTTACTTTTTTTGAAAGTATGGGCCCTGAATATTATCGATCATTTATGGTCGACTTTAGAGATGCAAGTCAGAATTCGATTCCCGCTGCTATCGTCTTGAAAAAAAGCTAAAATGAGTTATAACTGATTTTTTCACGGACACGTTTAATTTCGCTAAAATTTTATAGCAGCAGATCAATAGCTTAAATCTGACCTCCTGACAATTGGTGCCTGAGGGACAACTGCCATACAGAACAGCAGGATGGTATGCACGCATGCGAGTCAATTGAAAAAATAACGGGTTTGACTGGTCTCGGCATTCGCCGAGTATGTTTCGTACACTATTAATGGTCTTCACAGATATCGTATAACTATTGCATGCGACGTTGCTAACGCCGATTATATGCCTTCCAAGATCAGAAGAAGAAATCTACACAAATCACAACTAAAACATCAGTGATCATACAGAATATCCAGTACATGCCAATTCTCTTCGCATTTGCCAGCAGCCGAGAGCGCCAATGCATTTTCGCCGTCGTGTCTCATGGCAAAGTTTGGCAGCTGCGTGAGAAAAAAACTCAATCTGCGACATCTGCTCCCGAGTGAGCAAGCCGAGACGAATTGATCGTTTTTTCAATGAAAATTAATGCGAGCTTCTCGTGGATCTAGCTGACAGCCAACGTATTTTATCGGTACAAAAGATGAGCAGCAAAAAGTTTAAGAATACATTACACAGGAAAAAATGTTAAAAAAATCTGAAATATATTGTACCGGCTCAGTGTTTTTTCCCCTTTAGCCCTTACCGTTTGTTCTTTGCTTTACTACCGTGGATCGCGTATACTGTAGTTACGTTACACATGCTGTACGTATGAACAGTACTCGAATAAGTCATAAACCATAACTCTTGATCGTTCGATTTCAGATCTTGATTTTTGATAACGATATCAGATCGTTCCTCAGACTCCTGTAAGTAATCAGTGGAAATAAATAGAGCACAACTCAATTATAAATATACTGGCAGCTGCAGTAGCATCAGCCACGTGCGCCCGAGACGGCGTTATTGCAGCGAGCGATGAAGTTATTACGTCAATGCCGGGGCAGGAAATGTGAAGAATTTCAATTACCGTCGGCAATGCGCCGCAAGGTTACGGCGCTCACGCTAAATGATGTGCCTGCAGCCACCCTCCAGACGACGTAATCCATAAGGCGGTTCCTCGCTCTCTGCTGCGTTTACTTAAAAACGCAGTTTATACAAAACAGGAAGCATGATTACTTACTGGAGGTGAATCTATAACATTCATAATTGTTTTCTCCAATAACAGTATATTTAAGAAAATTCCTGAAATATTCACAATAGCAGCTATCCGGAAATGATCCTCCGTTGTAGAGAAACTTGCAGCAGCAAGGCAAATCAAGTGCAAAATAATTCAATATCTTAAAGAATAGAATAGAATAGGAGTAACGGCATTGAAGAAATAGGCCCATGGCCTGTTGCCGATTCTTGAACTTTTCGTGACTTGATTCACAAGGGATCCGGCCTTTGGAACCTGATCTTTCCATAACTGACGATTGATTGAGATAGCTGCTGGACTTATTGCCTGATCCGTAATTTGCTAGGCCTTTTAAGACTGAACATATGCTCCTGCATAGCTTCGTCTAGTCTGTTTTTGAAGATGTTCATACTCGGAGCTTCAACGATGCTATCAGGGAGGCTGTTCCACATGTCGTGGACTCGAAGCGAGAAGAAATGTTGTCGCATGGATGTGTTCCAACGCTGTTTTTTTAGTTTATAGCTGTGGCCCCTGGTGTTGGTTCTTGTTTCAAATTCTAGTAATCCTTCTGGGACCTTGTACGAACACTTTGTTGTCATTCTTTATGTTCTTGGAGTACATCCTGGTAATCAACGGCGTGTTCCCCGAGTCCTACGCGTTCCCTAATTTAAAGTCGCGCCCGGCTCTAAATTTTGTTAAGGGGGTTCGATCCAATCTACCTATGACAGTTCTGGTCAAATTGGTGAGGTTGCAGGACGATTAAGCACAACAGAAATGGAGCAGTGAGTTGCGTTTTCGACATCGCAACAAGCTGTGAATATTCTGCGATGTTGAGAATCGGCAGCAGGTAGAACGGCCTAATAAATGCTGACACCACCATATTACTATTACAACTATCGCAATAAATCGCGGTACTATGATACAGTATTAAATACAAATACATTACTATATAAAACCAACCGCTTCATGCACTGAGAATAAATACAACTACCTCTTAGTACAAATTCTTCTTCGTTATTTAAAGACAATGCACTGAGGTGCTCAGTGCTCACCATGGGGCCGAATAAATTATAGTATTATTCTAGAATCTAGAACTAGCGACAAAATCCCTATACCTAAATTCGCCGAATCGTGAGGAACTCTTCGCGTTGCTAGAGACCAGGTAAAAGGTTACAAGTCTGTGAGATCTCCTCAGTACTCGAAAAATTGAACCTCGTGTGGATATTATCGCCATAAATCCCACTGGACCTTATATAAGAGTAACCCTTCGGAGCTCATTGCTAGCGCTGCATGAATGCGAGTAAAAGAGCAGCCACGCTCTTCATCATCTGAACCTGACAGATGAGTACAAGTTGTCGGTGGCACTACTGAGCAACCATGGCACTAAGAGCCTGCCAGCTTATTTTATGTGTGCAATTAACAAGAATTTCCTGGAAATCACGACTGGCAATATTTTATCATAAAAATTAACGGCATGTGTTAAATAACTTTTTTTTTATCTATACAGAATGTCATTTCGATATGAAGAAAAAAAAAACATTTTAGACATCGGCTGGAACACATAAATCGTCACAAAAAGATAGACGTAATTTGAATTGAATTATGTTTCAGCAAAAAAATCCGAAATTATGTTGCGAAGCAGAAGCGCTTGGAAACAAAGCTGTAGAAATAATGGCAGTTATTTATCACGCGCGCGCAGTAATTTATCAGACGGGGCGAGATGCATGAGGTGGTTTAGCGGACGCATCACGACCTGCCTGTAATTACGGAGGAGTGGGAGGCGGCCACCACTAAAACTATGGTTGGCCACCGATAAACCTCCTATAACGTTCCCAATACAGTAGCTAAAATGCGGCACAGAGTAACGAGTGCCCGCGGCCCTCCTAATATTACTCACAGGCAACGAGGCATCCATGATGGAGGCGTCTGTTTATGAGGGCTCTTAAATGAGGATAAGAGGAACGTGTTCTTCCCCTCACATGAATCCGACCAAAACGTGTTCGGCAAAACGACTGTCGCTTCGTAACTCGTAAGATTCAGATAACCTAATTTAAAATAACACTGGAAAACGTCGCCAGAAACACTCTTGCTTGGTTCTTTCCTCGTGGAAGAATCAAGCTTAAAAC